CCAGCCAGAGGGGCCACAGGACAGAAGAGAGGAGAGGAGGCCCCGGCGACCCTGTTTTCCTGGAGAGAAGACAATGCGGAGTGGACAATTGAGGATTGGTCCTGCTTTGAGCAGCGGAGCGCACTAGATGTACCATTGATGTCCCTTCCAACTCTGATATTCTATGATTCTATGATCTAGTCCAACCCCTGCTCAAAGCAGGACCAATCCTCAATTGTCCAATCCCCATTGTCTTCTCTCCAGGAAAACAGGGTCGCCTGGGCCTCCTCTCCTCTCTTCTGTCCTGTGGCCCCTCTGGCTGGAACCGGCTGGTCAGGTCACCGGGGTCCTCTCTTCACAGCCCATTGTCCTCCCACTGGCCAGAACCGGCTGTGACTCCCGAGCTGGGCCTCCAGGTCGCCAGGTCACCAGTCGCTGGGGTATCCATCCTCCAGGCCATTGGCTGGGGTCCCAAGTTCCCTCTCTGGTCCTCTGTAACAACAAACTCCCTCTCCCCTCCCCTCGTTAAACCAGTAACACCCAGGGACACTGAGTCCCACCCGCTCTGCATGCAACCATTGGAAAAACAAGGAAAAATCAAGAAAATCCCCCACTTCGTCACAGACACATTCCCCTTTAGCAGACACAGAGCTTGGGATCTCATTTCCCTTGTCCCAGCACACAAGACAATACACAGACAACTGCTTGGAGACTGGGGTAGCTCCCTCCATAGGCAAATCAATACCCCTGACAGACACAGGAACATTTCCTTCACTGTCACCGTTCTCCACACAGATAACAGGTAAGGTCTAGGTATCAGAGGGGTAGCCGTCTTAGTCTGAATCTGTAAAAAGCAACAGAGGGTCCTGTGGCACCTTTAAGACTAACAGAAGTATTGGAGCAGAAGCTTTCGTGGGTGAATGCCCACTTCATCAGACGCAAGGTAAGGTCTAGGGATACTCATCTTCCACTATCCTGCTGACTAGACAAACCATCAGCTCACCAGACTGCCTAGGCCCATCCAAACTTTCCCTGCCTTCCTCTCCCTTGTCCCTGCACACAGGGCTGGTTACAGACAAAGCCTGGGAGAGTCGGGCAGCTTCCTTACCAGGTAAACTGCTGCTCTCCACACGACACTGAGCCACTCCCAGCAAATCACAGTCACCTTTTTCAGGTTCCCTTTTACAAGCTGTACCAGGCACCAATCCATCACCCATCAAAAATCCACCCTTTCCTTCCTCAGTTAGGGCTTTACCCTCACCAGCACAGTCGCTGCCCCTTCCCCGGCACGGTCGCTGCCCCCTCCCCAGCACCATCGCTGCCCCTTCCCCGGCACAGTCGCTGTTCCCACCCTGGAACAGTCTCAGCCTCAGACTCTTCCTGACCTCGACCCCTCTGGCTCCCTGGGCCTTTGCATTATTCTGGCTATAGATTGGTAGGTTTAAAGCCAGAAGGGACCATTCTGACCATCCTGCATGACAAAGGACAGAGACAACTTCTGGTGATAACTTCTGGATGAGCTTTGCAATGGTCTTCCCGGCTGAGGATGGGAGGGAGATTCCCAAACCGGAGCCATTCTTTGTAGGTGACAGATCTGAGGGACTGTCCCAGACTGAGGTATCATTAGAGGAGGTTTTGGAACAAATTGACAAATTAAACAGCAATAAGTCACCAGGACCAGATGGTATCACCCGGGAGTTCTCAAGGAGCTCAAATGTGAAATTATAGAACTACTAACGGGCGTCTGTAACCTATCATTTAAATCAGCTTCTGTACCAGATGACTGGAGGAGAGCTAATGTGATGCCAATTTTTAAAAAGGGCTCCAGAGGTGATCCCGGCAATTACAGGCCTGTAAGCCTGACTTTAGTACCGGGCAAACTGATTGAAACTATAGGAAAGGACAAAAT